TCTGTATACGAGGAAAATTGGGACGTACGGTACCTGTTTTATTAACAAATGAATTATACCAATCTATTATGATGATCTTAAAATTTAGGAAAGAAGCTGAAGTACCTGAAAAAAATCCTTATATATTTGGATTACCTGGTTATAGTAAACATAGATATAGGTACCTCAGGGCTTGCTTTTTAATCCGTAAATTTTCTGAGGAATGTAATGCAATAAATTCTACTACTTTGCGGGGTACATTGTCGAGGAAACATGTAGCAACACACTGCATTCAATTAAATTTGAATGATATTGATGTCTCAGATCTGGCGACATTTATGGGTCATTCGGAAAAAATACATAAAGACCACTACAGACAACCACTCGCAAGCAGAGACATACTTAAAATTTCACAGTATTTGGAAGCTGTACAAGGAATTGAACAGAATTTAAATCAAGAATCTACAACGGATAACGATTCTGAAAACGATGAGCAATTAAGAGAGTATATTTGTCCTAATAATGATGAGTTAAATATTGAAGCGATATGTAGTGGTAATCATATTTATAATTTAATATTCAATATCAAGATTTTAATTTATATTTTATATCTTATAATCTTCTTATAAGTATAACTTCTATATAATCACATTTAATTTTTTCTAAACGTTAACAATTTTATTAATGATTTATACATTATATATTTCAGACACAAATTTATCGTACGACAACATTCATGATGAGCAGGAGAACACAATTTATGATCAGCAGCAGAACAATGTAAAAAGAAAGCGATCTAGTAAATATTTCTCACTTCTTTTTAACATATACAGAGTGTCCGGTAACTGATCGAGCAACCGTCGTGTACGAGTAGAACGGGTCAAAATAATCATAAAAGTTATATGCCATTTTGAAATTGTCTCAATATTTATTCCATAATTAATTAAAATATATAAACAAATGAGCTCACGAGAAACGATAGGACAGACTCCGTGTGTAAAAGAAATGGCTTACCTCTTGGCAACTATAAGTAAACAGCTGATTTCGAGGCGGAGTAACGTATACGTGTTGCTTGTTACTCCGCCTCGAAATCAGCTGTTTACTTATAGTTGCCAAGAGGTAAGCCATTTCTTTTACACACGGAGTCTGTCCTATCGTTTCTCGTGAGCTCATTTGTTTATATATTTTAATTAATTATGGAATAAATATTGAGACAATTTCAAAATGGCATATAACTTTTATGATTATTTTGACCCGTTCTATTCGTACACGACGGTTGCTCGATCAATTACCGGACACCTGTACATAAGTTTTGATTTTGATTTATTTGGATTGATTTTGATAAATTTGATTGATTTTGATTTATTTGTATTTATATATGATCGTAATTATATGCCAATGTTTATATGCTTATGATTAGACATTATTTTATTGATTATATACTTATATATGATTTTTATGTACATTTTATATGCACTATTTTAATAATATGTTATACTCCTTTTAGCATCTCCTTACGGAAAAACAAAAAGGACGCGTTGGTCTGAGATAGAAAAAAAAACTGTATTACAGGCATTTGCAAAGCATATTGACAGTTTAACTTTACCGTCCTTAAGAGAAATTCAGGAAGTAAAAAAGAAATATGTTTCTCTCGCGCAACGTACGTCGCCACAAATCAAGACATGGATTCACAACCAACAAAAATATCTACAACAGCAAAGTAAGTATTTATTATTAGTCTTTTTTAAAATTGTATAATATTTAAGGAAAATGTGAAATGTTTAACTTATTTTTAGGATGTTGAAGTATGTTTTTAAATTATTACATTTCCTATCTTTTAAGGATGATCAGTCCGAAGAAAACGATGGGATGCGTACATCATAACTTAAATGAGAGCCTAACCTAACCAGATTGATCTTAACTGGATTTTCTTCTCAGGAAAGAAAGTGGAGAATTCAATATAAATATATACATATATATATGTATATATAAATTATTATGCGTTTAGTAAGATAAGTTAGATATAAGTTGCGATGGTTCGTACGTACGCTAAGAACACGGGGGTCGTCAGGGATAAGGGAATCCCGGGCCGGGAGGCTTATGTGCTCTGTTATTGCGGGTACCTATGTTAATCCAAAGATCATTGCAGAGACATGGATCCGTTGTGGTAATAGTCTGGGTAAACTAAGAATCGGACTCTTGATCTTATAAAGTAACGTGATTCGTTTGATGACTGGTTCAAGGATAATGATACCTGAATGATTTAATAGCGCGAGCTTGACATTTCGTTAGAATATACGCAAGAATTTAATGAGGCGTGTGTAATGAAGTTTGTTTTTTTATAACTGAACTGAGATTGCACTACAACTGAATTAAACTGAACCAGTACAAACTAGAACTAACAAGTGCAAGGTATGCAGCTATGGGATAAAGAATTCTCTAATACAAAAGTGACATACTACATGTTATACTTATAGAATCGTTAATTGATAATCTTTATATCGTTATCGTTATTATTTAATATATTAAGTACACAGTCAGAGCTTTACATTTCTGATCCTAGCGATTTTCACACTTAAAGTATATACTTAACTATCCATTTTTTAATTATTAATATTTTGTTTAACTCATTTATATATACTTATTTATTTGTTTAATTATGTATTATATATTTATGTGTATTGATTTTTTATATTTATACTACTTTTATATTCGTGAGCTTTAGAGTGAAAGTACAATAACAATATAAGTTACTTGACATTTCTTGTATTTATATTCAAAAGTGCTGTTCTAACTATCGTTGCACTGTTTGCACTGATTCCAGACTTAGCTACCAGTTCAGTGCACTTATGCACTGAGTTTCGTTGTACTGCTATAAAGAACAACGACACTTGCACCAGTTTAGCTATAAAGAACGCTTTAGTGTACACTGAACTAGTACAGCTAGTTCAGTTATAAAGAAGAAACCTATTCAAATATATATAATATATTTCAATAATATGTAAATATTAATATACAAGTAATAATATACAAGTATATATATAAGATTCAATAATATATACGTTTTTAAGTTAGAGGTATAATAAACGAAACAATAAGTTTGTTCTTTATAGCTGGACTGAATGCACTAGTTCAGGTAGTGTATAGTGAAGCGTTCTTTACAGTTACATTGATGCAAGCATCGCTGTTCTTCGTAGCGACGCAGCGTAGTGCATGAGTTCATTGAACCGGCTGCCGTAAGATTGAAGTCAATATAAGGACAGTTAGAACTCCACTCTCGAATATAAGAGCGAGAAATATGAAGTAAACTACATTGTTACTACATTGTTATTACATTTTTACTCTAATGTTTATGGTACGTATGAATGTGCGCAGAATCAATACACCTAAAAACAAGATTAAATAAATAAATAATTATATAAATGTATTAAATAAAATAATAATTAAGAAATGGATAGTTAAATATATTCACTTTAAATGTGAAAATCGCTAGGGTCAGAAATATAAAGCTCTGTATACCTAATACATTAAATAATAACGATAACGATATAAAGATTATTATAACGATTCTATAAGTATAACGTATCATACTATGTTACTTTTGCACTATAGTATTGTTTATCCTTTGGTTGCACGCTTTGCACTCGTCAGCTCTGGCTTGTATTGTTTCAATTCAATTCAGTTTTAGTACAATCCCAGTTCAATTATAAACAACAAACCTAATAGCAATAAGAATACCAAAGAAAAAGAATGAATATACCGAAATATGTTGAAAAATGATTTATTATTTGATTTTATGTTATTGGTATATTTAATATAATTTATTTTAATTCAAATTATTTAGTAACAATATTTTATGCCTGTTATATCTATATTCTATTATCTTCAGTACATACATATATAGGAAATATAGTACGAGTTTAAAACTAAATATATTGTTAAAAAAGAGTACAATATATTACGATTATATTTTGATTTTTCTTTTATACTTGAAATTTTTAATCAATGTATTCTAATGAACTTTAAATTTGTTTTTAATACAAAGTAGCACAGTATCCATATAGATATAGTTTTTATCGTCTGTTATCATCTCGAGGAGAACAAATAATAAAAATAATGTCAATTTGACGTCCTCGTTCTCGTGTCAATTTGTTCTAAATTTTTAATTTATTATCAATTTATTATTTAAATTTTGTGTTTCGAATGTAGCTCCAATAAATTGGTTTGTAACTGTAAGTTAATTTACAAGGACGGTGAATAAATGTCATTATTTGTTTGTAAAAATATTTGTTCACTTATGTATATGTAGCAAACAGGAACAAACATGTTAAAAAATATAAGTGGTAGACCTTACAATATATAAAATTAATATTAATAAATTTTTTAAATAAAATTATGTGAATATAACTTTATAAAATTACGCATGATATTCTATAATCTTCTTGTAATACTTTTAAAACTATAATTAACTGTTTATTATGCAGCACATCTGCCTACAATTATTATACAAGGTGTCCCGTATAAGATGTATCAAAAGAAAAATGTAAGTAGAACAAATAAAAGTGAACAAATATTTTAGAGGTCATTTTTCAAATAACTATTTTAATTAATATCTCGAAATTTTACGTGGTTATTTGAAAAATGACCACTACAATATTTGTTCACTTTTATCTGTTCTACTTATATTTTTCTTTTGGTACGTCTTATGCGGGATACCTTGTATATTTGATTACATTTAAGAGAAAATAAGAAGAATAAATAAACTTGATACATCAACTTACCCTTTTTTCCTTTTAATGTCGTCAAAATCGCCAATGTACCGCGTAATGTCGTCAAACTTTACAGTGTCGTCAAAGCATCCGCTGTATGGTTATTTTTAATTTGACGACTGTCGTCAAAGTATACGATAGGTCTATAAAACTTTGACGACGGTCGTCAAAATAGCCAAAAGTCGTCAAAGTAGCCAATGCGTGCGAAAAATCGTCGCCAAAGTATACGATTGACATATATATATGTATGTGTATGTATGTATACATTTATATATAAAATAGCCAAACAAATTTTGAACAGAGTCTGCTGTAAAAAAAATTGCTACAGTATATTTTCTTACCAATAAAAATTTTTGTTGGAAACTAAAATGAAACAAGAAATACTAATAATTTCATTAAAAGTATTTTGATTAATGTTTTTCACAATAAAACATACTAACCTGTAAACTTCTTGATTACCGAGGCACCATAATGTAATAGCTACTTGCTTATGAGGAGACATTTTTACAGCACCACGCTCACGATATAATTGAGGTCCAAGATCTTGTACTAATCTCTCATAAGTATGTTTTTCTAATCGAAAATGTGACTTGAAATCTGATAAAACAATGTTAATGTTATATATTACAATATATATAAGAAGAAACACACGCAAAAAGATATAACAGTAAAATATAATAAAGCAAATCTTCTACGTTCTTTACCTGTTAAAGAATATGTCAATACAACAGTTTCAAAAAACTCTGGGACCTTAGGATGAAACTCACGTTCAGGTGGAAGGTAGTCAATATCATCATCCTCATCTGATGGATTATCAAATAATAAGTCCCAATATCTTTGTATATCCATTTCTTGTCTGAAAATATTTCATCATTATTAAATCGTAATTACACTAACGATTGTTGATTGATGATTATGAATTAACGATTAGACTTAGACAATTGGAATTGTAACAAAGCACGCAAAGAAATTCGTTAATTTTTCCAAATATAATCTTCAAT